GAGATCTGTAACTCCCATCTCCAGCTGATTATATCCTTAGTGTTTTCACATACTTGATTAAGCCTTTGTATATAACCTATCTTTCCTATCACCCCTACCACCCCTTTCTCAATGTGCATGACCTCCTCATTCCTCTCTGAGCCCCAAACCTCAACTCAGGCGCCACCATCACAGCCTGCAAGAATGACATCCCATCCTCGAAATGCCTCACTTTCAGTTTCTGACACTTCCAGATAATTTGGCTACCTGTGTGAGTCCCAGCTCACCCCGCCTAGCTCCATCATACTATGTCAGGTCACGACAAGTTCCCTTCCCTCAGCCCAGCGTTAGCACTATGTGGGTGCTCTCTTCACATCAGTTGGGCCTCAAAACTCCATGTCATGTTACCACCATGTGTGTCCACACTCCTTGCCACATTCTGACTCTTATTTCTTCCTCCAGGCTACACCTTTTTGGGGATGTGGTCATCACTTGGTTTGGGCTGTGACTCTCCGTGCTGAGTTGGCATTGCATAGATGCCTTCTTCACCTTTTTTAGGATCAACACCTACAGCCAGGACCACCTTCATCCTGTGTGAATGCATTAAGGCCATTCCCACCATTGTTGAACTAACTCTCCGAACCAAGCTGTTCTCCCATGAATTCACCAACCTCACTATGTTTGGGCTTTGAGACCCCTACTCTGGGTGCCCCTTTTTTGGCAAAGTCTGTTTGGGCTTTGAGACCCTTACTCTGGGGTGCCCCCGTTTTGGAAAACTCTCTTTGATCTGCTTGGCCTTTGAAATCTCGCGCTGAGTCACCCCTCTGTATGGATTTTTTTCACACACTTGGATTCTCTAAAAACAATGATTTAACTGATTCCAACAAATTTGAAAATGTAAATATTCATTTTTATTTTCAAATGTTATCTAATATTCATTGAGACTTTTTCTCTGATCCATATATATTGAGAACTGTGTTTTGCTTGCTTAGTTTCCAAACATTTTGGTGATTTTCTAGTTATCTTTCTGCTATTGAGTTCTAGTTTAATTTACTATAGTCAGAGAAATACTCTAAATGATTTCAGTCCTTCGAAATTAATTTCATCTGCCTTAAGGTCCAGGATACGATCATTTTGGAAATTTTCCATGTACACTTAAAAATGTGTGTTTTGCCATTGTTGCATGTTATTTCTCATGTTTGTATGTGTGTGTATATATGTGTGTGTGTGTGTACATTATATATACACACACATATGTATTTGTCAGTTGTCAAATTGATTGATTGTACAGTTTAAATATTACATATCCTACTGCATTTGTTTCCATTGGTCTGTCAGTCATTAAGAGCATGTTAACATCTCCAGATAAAATGGTGGGTTTACCATCTCTCAGTTCTGTCAACATTTCTTGATAAGTTTTCCTGTATGTTATTAGATGAATACATGTTTAGTTATGTATTATTATTAAATTTATCACTTTATCATTATACAATATCTCAATCTCTACTATTACACCTTGCCTCACACTCTACTTTGCCTGATGTTAGTATAGATCAATTTTATTTTATTTTAGTGTTTCCAAGGAATATTTTTTTCCCCATTATGTTCATTTCAAGCCTTCTGTGTCTTTATATTTAATGTCTCCACAGAAAGTACTGAAATTTTACCAGGGCTTTTTATCCTTGATAGACCCTAAATATTTCTCCCAAGTTGTAATTGAAAGCTCAGCAGAACCTCTCTTTCAGCCTTTTTTTTCCTCTTGACTCTACAATTTCCTCAAGGGAAAATATTGTCACAAAAGACAGGCTTACTTCTCTGCTTTTGTCTCCTCTCCTATATATTGTTTCTATAAAAACCCTTTGTCTTTTATTTTTCTGATGCTTTCAATCATTTTTAAAAACACGTTACCAAGTTTTTCTAGTGGTTCTTGGGGTTGTGATAGTCTGAAAAAGTAGGCTATTATTGCTGCAAGTGTGCTTTCTTATTGCTAATTATAAAGAGTATAAGTCTAATATGTTCCCATTAAGGTATTGTTTTCTGTATACTTTTCAGTAACTCCTCCTCTTAAAATGATTTTCCCTTTTCAGTAACTCCTCCTCTTAAAATGATTTTCCCTTCCTTGTACATTTTTTTTGTTTATACTGCTGTTCTCTAACTTCTTTAGATGCTTAACTTCTTTGTTCTTTTTTTAATAGCCTAATTAAATGCTATACATTGCTTCTAAAACCACCACAAAATATATTTAGTGTATCTCACAAAATTTGAGCTGTGCAGTACTTTTGGTACAATGTAATTAAAAACTATCTTCTAAACTTTGTTTTGATTACCATCTTTTTTATTTTTTTATAATTTCATTCTATTGTGGACAGAGAAAATTATCTGATTTATATTGGTCATTTGAGATTTGCTTTTGTTGTTGTTGTTGTTGTTTGGGTGGGGCTTGGTATTTGACCAGATTTTGTTAGTGTTTAGAATGTATTTGTAAAGCAATCCCTATTCCTCAGTTATTGAGCCCAACATTTAATGAAAGCACATTGTGCCTATTTTATTAATCATTTTGTTCAAATGGCCAATAGCCTTATTAAGTGAAGCTGGAACTGCACTGCTCAAAGACTGTTCTTTATCTGGTGTCAGGTTAGATTTGTACAAGAGGCATACAGAAGTAAAGCAACAGAAAGACTTCTTTCTGGTCTTTGAGGACAGATGTGATAAAGGACATGCAAATTGGAGTCTAGTGGGCTCTATGCTCTCCTCACTCTTTTTCACTCCATGTCCAACTATTCCTGACCAGCAGTGTGTTTCAAGTTTGTGTATGATTCTTGGCTGCAGATTCATAGAAACAGTAGCTAGACAAATGTAGCACTTCCCCATAGACTTCTTCATTAGCTTTCCTTCCCAGTCTCACTTCAGCACATCACATGGATATCTCTACAAGCTTCAAGTTCTCTACTCATGGCAGTTTTCAGGAGTGCTGAATAGTTATTCTTCTCTGACTCTCTGTATTAGTCCATTTTTATACTGCTATGAAGAAATAACCAAGACTGGGCAATTTATTAAAAAATAAAGAAGTTTAATGGACTCACAGTTCCACATCACTGGGGAGGCCTCACAATCATGGTGGAAGGTGAAGGAGGAGCAAAGGCATGTCTTACATGGCAGTAGCCAAGAGAGCGTATGCAGGGGAACTGCCCTTCATAAAACCATCACATGTTGTGAGACTTATTCATTACCATGAGAACAGCACGGGAAAAACCCATCCCCATGATTCAATTACCTCCCACTGGGTCCCTCCCAGGACACATGGGGATTATGGGAGCTACATTTCAAGATGAAATTTTGGTGGGGAAAGAGCCAAACCATATTATCCTCCAAATCTTTCTTCCAGACCATTGCTTTCCCGTTTCTTTCACAATTTAAAAAGGGCTATTTTCTATAAACAATCCTTTATTCCATAATATTCCTAACAGCTTTGCTTTCTTGATTAAATGTTGTCTGTTAAACTCTTTGTTCTATTTGTTCTTAGAATGTGATGTATCCACCATAATTTTTGTCCAGTCTACACTTTTATTTTCTTGAATATATTGGTAAAAGCAAATAAATTTAATTTACTACTTCCTTTCTTAAAAAAATAAATAGAAACTAAAGGGCTAGAGCTCTTAGGCTGTAGGATTTTAACTACTTCCATATACAACAGAATTGGAACAGTTCTACAAATTTGGAAACCCTGACTACCTGTCTTAACATACTTCTTCAATGGGCTGGAACAATAAATTAATGTTTGAGAGTCATTGTAGAAATACTTTGGGCCAGGGAATTTGGCATCTTATGAAATTACCATCAGTATTACTACTCCCCCACCCCTATTCCCCAACACATCCCCCAAAAGAGATTTTTTAAAGCGTCTCTTCCAAAGACTCTGTTTCTAGAGATCTGGGAATAAGAGACCTAGGGGTGTGCATTTCTAACAAGCAACCCAGATAATTCTGATGAACAAGGTTGTGGACTTCTTTTCGAAAAACATGGGACTAGAAAATATATGTGGGAGCTATTTTTGTCAGCTGTGGCAGACATCCAAGTTACCCTGAGTTACCAGAGGCAAATCCGTACGGGTCCACAGCAACTTCAGTCCTTGCCTCCTCAGAAGAAAGAATTCAATTGAGGGGCAAAAAGCAGAAAAAGAGACCAAGGCATTTGGGAGCAGTGGTGGGATTTTATTTTAAAAGGCTTTAGAATAGAAAAAAAAAAAAAAGGAAAATTCACTGGGTGGAGACCTAAGTGGGCACCCGAAGCTCCAAAGGAGAAAAAAGGCATTTAACCATGATCCTGGGACTTGATCGGCTTGTCTCTTTCCCATGAGTCTTCCCTTAGTGTGGACTTTCTGCATCTGCAGTGCTCTCCTTACCCTTTGGAATTAAACTCATGCCCATCTGAGCCTTTCTTCCTTTTACAGGTGGAGTGTGCCTGGAAGATCATACTTCACCATTTTTGTCTCTTAACATGCATGCCCAGGAAGTTGCTTCTCCCTGGGGCCTGCATTCAAGTAACACTTTTAATGTTAACAGGTGTGGATCATCAGGAGGTTGCCTCTCCCTGGTTGCAGAATTATCATTTTTAGAGAAACAGTATGATAATCGTGTAATCATCACCTACATTCCTAGTGAGTGTGTCGGGAGCCCTCTCTTGCCCCGCTCATTGCCTATCTACCTACCTGTAATTTTCAACATGCAATTTTTCTTTTTGGGGGCTTCTCTGTTCACCCTTATCTTCCAAAGTAGTAAAAATAAGACAACAAAAACTACCACCTTCTCAAATTTTTCTAGATTATCCAGCTTTCTACTTAAAGGAATTTGCATTGTCAATATGCAAACATCTACATGTGCAAAAACATGTAATTTCATGAGTTAAACATGTTTTTTATATATATATATTTTTAATGTTTCTAAACAAATATGACTCAAAAAGGAATAAACTCCAAAAATATCAACATTTTACTGTAAGAACAAATTGAGTTCATGTCAAAATGTAGTTTAATATTAAGTATTACTTTATTCACTGTATAAATTTGATTCTCTTGAGATTTATGTACACATTATTTAAGACAGCTTTTCCTGCATAACTGCATATTATTTTTCCTGGAAGAAAAAAACTTGGAAGAAAGAAATGTTAAAAAGGAGCACTCATTTCCCGGGTTAACACCAGGGGACATAATCTCACACACAGGAGAGATACACCTAGTCAAACCTTTGAGGAAGATGGAAGCAGGTATCTCACACCAATTAAACCACATTATTATTTTCTTTTTAACATTCTCATCATTTTTCACATAATGCTGAAATAAATAGAATACTGGAATTATTACACATAAAAGTAGAGGAGTCAAAATTTGTCTAGAAAAAGAATAACACAGTAGTAATACCGATTCATTGTGGCTGACTTGTAAGCCTGACCAATGGTGCTTTTTGCAATGCTATTTTTCTTCATAACATTCTTAGTTATATAACAACTATTAACAATTTAAAAAAAATATGAGAGTTTCTTTCAAAATAATAGATTCCCTTTTTGAATGATTGTTACAGATTTCTCACCTTCAACTGGAGTCAATCAACAGAGATCCATACCTACTCATAGCGCCCAACGCTACAAAATCACTTTGGAATCTAAGTTTTATTTTGACACATAATAGTTGTCACATTGAAATTTTCTTTAGCTTTTCTCTCGCTTTAATTAGGTGTCTTTGTTAAGAGATATACGTCTTATCAACAGCAGCTGGGCCAAGCTTCCTCGGAACAGCTCTTTCCTCCAAAGAAACACACACAGGATTCATAAGGAAATAATTCTTTCCTCCCTCCTACTCTTTCTCATCTCCCGTCACCTTCATCTGTCCTCCTCTTCCTTCTCTTCTTTGATAACTTGCAGAATGGCTTGGTTAAAAGAAGAATATTAAAGCTAAGAAGTGTCAAAAGACACAGCAAAAGTAAGACAGCATTTCATTTAAGTAAAACATTCCCTTCTTAATGGATTCCTCTAAAATAAATGTTTTGAAGTAGATTTTGATTCCTGTGTGCAAAGGAAAATTGTTGAAGGCAAGGATGAAAGAGGGCATTTGAAAAGAGTTAAGTATTGTTTTGGCTTTGGCACTTAAAAGTTTATTTCACATAAAATCTCAAATGTTCCCTAGAACATTCTGAATACAAAACAAAACAAAACTATGCACTTGGTCAGCGGATATAATCACCTGCCATGCTGGTAATTATCAACTTATAGGTAGTGTTGGGCTCTCTTAATGCAGCCCTCCTATAAAAACCAATGGTTTAATTAGATGAGACACATGTATCTGAATTGGTTTGGCTCCTGATTTTGGTTAGCACGCTTTCAGGAAAGTGAGGAATACCTGTATTTCATTTTTAAACCTGAAAAACAAAGATAAACTTCTTGGTAAGAAATTTAAAGGTGAATAAAATATATCAGTCCATAACATTTTAAAAGGAGAATATCTATCAATCATGGGAATTATTTACTCATCTTAAAAACAATTTCTTTCCTTGCTGTTTTCTCCATACACTTCCAGAAACCCAAAATTTAGTTGGCATATTTTAAAATTGCAGGGTACAGATAACTTTGTGAATTAAATTTGTCTTTATCATACAGTCTAGCTCTACGAATACTTTTAAGCTTTAAAAATTAAAGTTTATATTCAAGAAACCAGTTTCCATACTCTTTCTTATTTTTATCAGCACCCAGGAAGGAAGCAATATGAGCTGTGTGCACTCTACACTGTAGCAATGGAGAATTTGATTTGACAAGCCAAAAATCCTGCATTGGTGGCAGATATCATGGTAACTCTGACTCTACATATGCAATCATCTTTCAATAATGAGATCATTTCAAATTACTCAAAAATATTCATAAAGTCTACTCAGTGGGTGACAAATCAGTACCGGGCATTAGTCCCAGTTCAAACTGGGGTGACTGTCTCATAGTTTATAAAATCCATAATCCCCAGTTCTATATGCTTACTATTGATCAGTAGTTAATACCATCTGCCATATATTTAATACTGGCAGTACCACAATAATTTATTAGAATTAGATAATGAAATGTTAGTTTAAAATATTGTGATTAAATTTCTTATGTGTGTGATTATAAGACAATATTCTTTTGGAGGTGAATTATAATTTGAAACTAGAGATTCAAATACTACATAACTTGACTGTATCACTCTAGTGCTAATAATTATTTATATAGATATGTGTGTGTATAGATACACAAATTTATATGTACTTAGTTTTTTTTTTTAAGTGAAAAAAGAACAAGGATTTTTATGCATGTAACACAAGCCTAAATTTGAGAGGAATAATTCAACAAACATTTTTACCCCTTAGATTATTAAGTCTATGAACTCATTCTTAGTTGGTTGATTCACTTTTGGTGTTCAAGTCTGTGGTTGCTGTTATACTGACAATTTCTTTAAGACAAGCTTACATTTAAGATGTTACATCACATCAAATCACTAGCTAACAACATGACTTCTTCTGTGTCAGAGGTATTGGAACAAGGCACTGAGCATTGTATAAGATGACACATCAATAGAAAAGATTGTAGGCCGGGCGCGGTGGCTCAAGCCTGTAATCCCAGCACTTTGGGAGGCCGAGATGGGCGGATCACGAGGTCAGGAGATCGAGACCATCCTGGCTAACACGGTGAAACCCCGTCTCTACTAAAAACACAAAAAACTAGCCTGGCGAAGTGGCGGGCGCCTGTAGTCCCAGCTACTCGGGAGGCTGAGGCAGGAGAATGGCGTAAACCCGGGAGGCGGAGCTTGCAGTGAGCTGAGATCCGGCCACTGCACTCCAGCCCGGGCGACAGAGCAAGACTCCGTCTCAAAAAAAAAAAAAGAAAAGATTGTAAACTTATTAAAAGATTTGCAATTATTTTAAAGCAAAGAAATGTTTATCATAAACAACTTGTACCTAACTTATACAAACAGGCTTCATGACGTGAAATTGGCATTCCAGAAGAAAAGTGATTTTTAAGAAATTTAGCAATTTTCTAGATTAAAATCCACAAATTAATCAATATACATTGTCTTGCATCCATTAACTACTAAGAAAACACATTTACTTCTCTATTGTATCTTTGCTTGAGAAGCTGAAGCAATCTAATAGCTTCATAATGTTGTTTTCCAGATAAGATCAGTCTTGAAACTATTATGACCAAATTATTATCTCTAAGAACCAAGTTGTTTTATGTTGAAACCCAAAATTCCAGTCTCGAGAAAAGGAATTCTGCATTTGCTGGGAAGAACTATCTGGGATTCTGATTGTAGTTGAATGTGTCAGGAATAAACCTCTGCTATGATCCATTAACACTTTAATGTGTGAGTTTTCTTATGTCATCTGATCTTGGCAATTCATTTGCACATTTTAAAATGATAGGATATACAGGGCTCAGTCAGCCTCTTTGATCCCTTTGTTTTTGCCCCAACATTTTTCTTAATGGGGAAGGAGGTATCAAATAACCCAAGAGAAGACCATAAAAATAAACAGATGCACTGGAAAGTGATGGGACAGCCCAAGGCCAGTGTTTCTTACTAAACTGCAAGACTCCATAATATCCCAGTATTCTGATTCTACCTGCACTTTCAACAGTCATTTACAGCACCTCAGAAAACATCTGGAGAGGGCCCAGTCAATGAAGCAGAGAAGTAGTACATTTCCAACATCACAAAGTTGGCCTCTATAAAAGTGTATAAAAACTTTGAGTTAAAAAAAAAAAGGGGGGTAAAATAGACACATGGCTTCTGACCTCTGGCCCTAAACCCAGAGGAAAAAGTGAAGTAAGGCAGACCACCTGCTGCTTCCTCATTACGCTGATTAGATTGTTGATTTAGCCAGCTGTGCTTTGTTTTCCTCAATCATGACATGCTTGGCAAATTCATTAGAATTAATTCCCAAGTTCTCTTTTAATTTGTTGAGCTCAAAATCATGGAGAATCTTGATAGTCATTAACTTTTCTCGCTTGATTCTCTCCACAACATCTTTTGGAACATCAGGTATCATCCAGGCCAGCAAAAATTTAACTAAAAACACAACATGCTAGAGGAAATATAAAGGAAAGATTAGACGCTGTTAGAAGTGTCACATGTTCCGCAGAAAGTCTTTAAAAATCATTTCACTTATTTAAAAAACTGCTCAACATATGAGGTAGAAAGGCAAGCAAGAAGATATGGTCCCTGTCCTAGAACTTTCATACAAAGATCAACATTAAACAAATAAATATATACTTAAATATGTAACTAGCAATATTCCAGTTGAACATGATTATTGAATATACTCTTTATCACTGCTCCTTCCTGAAAAGCTGATAAAATATTTATAAAGGAATTAGATATAAAGGAATTAGACTCAAAAGATTGAAAAAGGCTAGCAAACTTGCAAATGATGATGTGGTGACTTGACAGTGGAAACCAAAAAGACAAAAGCCAATTTTGTTTTAGAATGTCAGAAAAGTTCAGGAAAGAAGGCAGTAAGGACTTTTGAAGGTATTAGTGTGAGTTGGAGTTGAAAACAAGAGGATTAGATAAAAATTCGCATAAGGAGCACTTGAATTTTCGGAGCCTTTCTCCCATCTGTATCCAGGTATTCTTTTACTCCATACTATACCCTGGAAGCAGCTGAAGAGTTTATTTTCTGCAGAAATTATACCAGAAAGCTGTGAATCCAGGGGCACCAGACACAGTGGATGTATGAAAACATATTGAAAAAAAAAAATGTAAAAACAGTGAAATTCAGCACGACGAACTGTGAGACACTTAGTCCCCTCTGCCTTGCTCAGGTCTTAGAACACAGGCAGCCACAAAATATCTCAATAGGCAGATTTAAAGAGTTTTCTCTGGGAAAAGTAACTATTCTGTAAAAGCAGAACTGGGGATGTCAAAATTTTGTAAGGATCCAATGAAAATGTCAGCTCACTACCTTATCAACCTACAGTGAAACCCACCAAGTGACACCACTCCTGTATGCACAAAATGCTTAAAGTCAGCTTTTCACTGCCACACTCTTAAACATGAGCAGAACCACCAAATACGTAGGAAAGTCTCTGACGTGGAAAAAAAAAAAAAAAAAGAACCAGATATAAGGAAAGGAGTAAAAGAAAAAGGTAGAATTTTTAAAAAGATATTAATCCAGGTTTTCATAGAGGAGAAAACAAATAATTAGAATTTCAAACTAGAAAGTGTAAATTTGAGTAACAGTAGTTCCAGAGAGACAGCACAAAGAAAGAAAAAAATTTATCAAAGAAATTATGCCAGCAAATTGTCTCAACTTGATGGGTAAGTACGTTTTTAGATCTAAGGGGCTCAATGAATGTTTAAAACAATGAATGTTGACAAATAGCAAAGAACCACCTTGTGAAGCTTCATAAAAATGGGGCTAATGAGAGAATCCTAAAACCGTATTGATTTTAAAAATAGATAATACACAAAGACTGGGGAGTCAGAATAGTATTGCATTTTGTAGCAATACTGGAAGCTGAATGAAAATGAAGCAATGTCTTCAAAACTTCAGGAATACCAAAATAATGTTGATTAAAATTTCTTCAAGAAAACAACTTTTAATTATAAATTCTATTCCAAATAATCACATGTAAGGAAAGAAAAGAAATTTTCAATATTCAATTCCTCAGAAATAGACAGCCCATAATTTTTCCTCAGATATTACTGGAAGATGTGCTTCACCAAAATAAGCTAGAAAACCAAAAATGGGAGAAACATAGATTTGCAGAAAATATAGTCTCCAATAGAAGACAAGATGAAGAGAAGTCCCAGGATGATGCTTGGTTGGAGCCTGCAATTATTACAAAAAATTAATACAAATAATAAATAAATTAAGACAAAAGAATTCCTGAACTAATTTACTGGCTGAAAGGTGATCTAAACTTCTGATGCAAAATGTTGGAATGAAAGACTGATAAATTCATAAAGAACTAAGAGACGGAGGGAGAAAAGAACAGCAATATTATAATAAAAGAAATATGTTCAGAATGTAAGACAGGAAACAGATGTGACTAATATTTATAAAGTCATAATTTATAAACCCTGACTATTGTATTTATATAAAATATCTTACTCAAAACTGATGGACAGAAATATTTCAGAATTGAGATTAAATATCAAAAATATGTAATTTAGTGTATAAACAGCAGGGTCTCAGGTGGCACTCTGTATCAAACACTTAAATATTTCTGCAGCAAAGTAAATGAAGAGTCACTCTAAAAATAATAAATAAAGGCTATCAAAAGCCTTAAATTAGATCATATATTGCTGCTAAATAAGTTATCAAAATACTTCCTCTTTCCTGAGGTTTTGAATTTCAGAATAAGACAAAAAAAAAAATGCTGTAATTATTGAGCGGTAGGAGAAAGAGAAAGTTTTTTTTTTTCCCTTCTCTCTTTCTCTCTGTGTGGGTGTGTGTGTGAGAGATCTGCCAAAGTAGAATGTCAGTAATTGATACCTAAAACTAAAAAATAAAAATATATAACTGCGAAATCATGTTCTTTTGCCATACAAGGGTAACTACTAGAAGAGTGAGTTAAAAAAGTTGAGATGTTTACTTTGGATACTAGAATTTTAGGGTAGGCAGGAATATTATGTACGATTGCTGTTTTGTTTTTTTGCCATACAGAACTATTTGATTTTTAAAATTACATGCGAAACTTTGATAACAATAAAAATAAATTAAACAGAAACTGGTTGGAATGGCATGCTCTTGGGTTAGGATTGTTTTTTATTGGGCTTTATTCCAGGGTGAAAAAGTGCCTTTATTTTACTTTTCTCTCCCTGATCGGCCTTCTTGCCATATGATTTGTATCACTCAATTTGAAACTTTGTCCAAAACTGCCTCTGTATTGGTTACCTTTTCTTCCATGCCTTATCTCTATAATTACACTAGATATTCCACAAGAGAGGAAGCATAAAAATAACATAGAGTACAAACTTGGGAGTGAGGCACATTTGGCACTGAGACCCAGCATTAATGTTAGTTAGTTAACGTTAAGCCAGCTACTTATTTTTGCTGAATCTCAGATTCCTTTTTCAAAGGTGAGCGATAAGGTCTAATTTACAATATTGTTACGATTTAATACAGCCTCTGGAACTAGTAAATAATAGGTACTCCATAAAATCCGTGGGTTATTTCCCCTTTTCCTGACTTCAAGGGAAAAAGACCGTATTTGTTTTCCTTTCCTTTTCTGTCTCCATGACATGTTCAACAGCAATAAGTGAGTAATAGGCAATCCATTGTACTGAAAATATCCCTAAGGTTCTTTTTATGACAACAAATACAATACTTCCTTCAAGACAATTTATTGAGATATTGCTAACTTTCTGATGAGCGGTTACCTTTGGAAATACCTGCCTAAAGAGAGAAGAGAGTAACTGGAATGAAAGTTAAGAACAGCTTACTTCCATAACAATGATGAAGGTCATCTTGGCAGCAAGGACATGCCAGAATTGCATATTATGAAAATATTTATTCTCATCATCAGGAGGATATCTGTAATCTCTGTACCTGAAAAGTGGAAATAAATGCAAAAAAATCAAAAAATAGTTATAGCTTCAACTAGAGAGACCTAATATAATTTCTTATTATTTCTCTTAACAGACCTGTCTAGCTGATCAGAAAAATCAGGTCAAAGTTAATTGATATTATGAAACATTATCTTTCTTGTTCACATAAAATCAGGGTATATGCTACTTACATGCAAAAATAGACCTAAGAAGAAACACACAAGTGAAACTTCTCTCTTGCCCTTCAAAGACAAGCTTCTCAAATAAGTTATTCAAAATTTGCTGCTTCCACTTCCTCTTTTCCCACTCCTTAACACTCCCAATCCTTTCCTTCTCTCCTATCCTTAAATTGCAGGTATATATTACTCCTTTGATTTGACTTTCAAAAATAAGAATATTATAGGCCACTTCTATCTTCTTGAAACTCTATTTTCTCTTGGCTGTTCTGATGTTGTATTGCTTTGTTTTTCCTAACACAATTCTGAAGTTTTCTTAATGTCCAACTTAGTGTGTTCATTCTCTTCTATAAAGTCACTGGATACTGGTCCTACTGAAATAGTTAGTCCAGCTAGTGGGTAATCACATCTAGAAATCTGACACCAGTGGCCAAGCTCTTAAACACATTAGGCTATGATTTCATTATACTCAAATATGTAATATAGCAATATAATGTCTGCTTGTCTTGCAATATTTTGCTCTTTTTTTTTTTTTTTTTTTTTTTTGGAGTCTCAAATGAAACAGCTGGTTTAAATTAAGGGGCCTTGATAAGCATGTGTGTGTGTGTGTGTGTGTGTGTGTGCGTGTGTCTCTTTAAATTGTATGGTGAAAAGATCCCATAGTACATGATACACTGAGAGTAAAAAACAGTAGGTTCACATATGCAATTTTATATTCCCTATACAGAATAAAACCTTTGAGCAGGATAGGTGGTGAACTAATCATATTATTATATCATATTATTATATTGTTATTTCTCTCTCACACACTCTCTTTTCTGAGGATGCAGATAAATTCAAGTAAGTTAAATGTATATACAATATGACAATGTTGTATGATCTATAGATTATTGCAGCTTTGGACTAAGGGGCACTTGTTGGTGACAAACTCTTTTGATAAATTAGAAAGTAAGAAAAAATTTTAAATTAATGTTATCTTTACCCATAATCTCTTAGTTTTTGCCATGTTACCTTTTCAAATCTGAATCATGCAATGTGTGAATTCTAGAATGGATACAATTTATTTATACAGGATTTTTGTTGCCCTAAGAAAATCCTTTATATTGTAAGGCATAAAGGTAATAGACAACTTAAGAAATACACTTAAAGGATAAAACTAAAACCTAAACAAATAAACAAATCACCTGCAAGTGATGAAGTCTCGTTTTTCCGAAGGTGCAGTGTGGTTTGGAAAATCAGCTATCAGGAATACTGACAGGCTATTATTCACATATCCTTTCATAGGCTGCGTGGCATTTGTTGAGTAAGCATAGTAGTAAACTAGACGGGGAATGATGTCCGACGTAAATGCAACAATAAAGGCCTGAAGAATAAAAAAAAGAGGAAGATCATGGGCTGCCAATTTAGTTTTAATAATGTCTGACTTGTACATCTCTCAGTACCATAAATTGTACAGATGCAAAATAATTAAATACTATTACAAATCATAGTAATATGCAAGTCTTTGTCCTGAAACACAAAACAGCTCATTTACAGTGTGTGATCAGTATTCCAGGATTTCATAGCTACAAAGTGGCTAAGTAGAGAGTCAGACCAAAATGTATCTGTCTCCAAGAACCATGTTCTTTCCATCAAGCCTTGCTATTTCTTACATTTCTTATTGTTTAACAGCACAGTTCTACTATCCTTAACCAAATTCACTTTCTTAGACTAACCCAATGAGGTAGGACTGCAGGGTGTGGTGTGTGTGTGTGTGTGTGTGTGTGTGTAAGAGATTAACAGGAAAGGAATGAAGAAACTGAATATCATGTGTTTGCAAATTTCTCACAGTTCAGTGCAATTAATTTCAGTATTTGATTCCACGGGAATGATATTTTCCCATCCTTTCCTAAGTTCCAGAATAGTATAAATAGCATATATTTTTAGATTAGATATGTCAATTAAAAACCACCTGGCTCTGGTACCTATATTTTTAGTGCTATGCTTTAAAAATTCTAATGTAATTTCTATGGCTAATGGTCCATTCGGGCTTTCTATTACTTAGTGAATAGATCTGACAATTTTGCTTTCTAAACAAGTGGTCATTTCAAATATATTTCAAAATATATTGGAGTAAATTGGTACACAACAGTCTCTCATACTTTTTTTTCCAGAGTTTTACTTACTTTGTCTAGCTCTTGATTTACTTAGCAATTATGTCACTTTTTGTTTTCTAATTTGATTATTTCTGATTACATCTTTATTCTTTTTTACTACTTTCTATCAATTTGATTTACAATTTTTGATAGTGTCTTAAGTTATATACTCAGCTCATTTTCCAGTCCTCTTTTAATAATTAAAAATGTATGGCAATGGAGTTTCCTGTAATAGTGGTTTTGGCTCATTCCTATAGGCTTTCATTTAAATTAACCTCTATGATTTCAATTTTGTTTTCTCTTATATGAATCCTACTTAAAAGTATTAGATTTTCTTTTTTGATTATCTTATTATCAACTTCAATTTGTAAAGTATATTGGAAGTGAAAATGCATTATAAAAGTTATACTTTTGGAAATTTATTTTTCTTACATTTTAAGTGTTTCATAAATATAACAGGTAAATATACATTCTCTGTAGTATACAAATACAAATATAATCATTTTTAAATTATTTTATCCAAACACATTATACTGTTACTTATTTTCTGTCTACTTTGTCACATGCTGTGAAACTGTCATACTAATGAGAGTAATTTTATAATTGTTCTTGTATTTCTAAACAAGAACATCAGTTTTTCTATATTGGTCAGTGCTTAACAGTTATTTTGGGATGTTTTAGCTTTATAAAGTATCACCATGATGAAATCAATGTAAAGATTAAGCATCATTCGCATCTCCCCGTGCCCCCCAAAATGAAATACAAAGTCACCCCATCGAAATAGGTCCACTTACATTAGTTGCAACAGAAAGGACAGCCATTCCATAAAGAATGTCTTGCCAAACACCTATGCTATGAGCTTTAGAAGCTACAGTTCTCCTGTATTGAGTGGTAAGTTTCCAGGCATCCACTCGAATCTCTACAATATTATTTATGAGAGCAAGAAGAGGAGCCAAAGGAAAAGAGGCCACAAATAGTGTAACAAATCCAAATTGAATAACTGTAGAGAAAAGAAAAAGGCATGAAGTCATTATTGTGAAGGAGAAAGACAAGAACACCCTGCCCAAATCCTGCTACTTCCTTCATTTTGGAGTGATCCACATGAATACGACAATTCAGGCTTCTGCCTGTCTGTCCAGTTCCTCCTCTCCACAGGGGACTTACCTGCTTGCTGGAACTGGAAGGAGAAACTGGGCATGCATGGCTGAGTTCCTTCTTTACTCGTCCTTTAGAAACATGCTTATTAGAACAAAATCTATTTTTCTTTGCCTTTTACTATGGGCTAAGTTTAGGTTTATGCTTGTCTAGTCTTTACATTTGTATTAGCAATTTAGTGAGGTAACCAAGTTTTTCAATCTTGCTAGCCCATCTACTTTTATGTATGTATGTATGTATGTATTTTTTATTATACTTTAAGTTCCAGGGTACATGTGCAAAATGTGAAAGTTTGTTACATATGTATACATGTGCTATGTTGGTGTGCTGCACCCATTAACTCGTCATTTACATTAGGTTTATCTCCTAATGCTATCCCTTCCCTCTCCCCCTACCCCACGACAGGCCCCGGTGTGTGATGTTCCTCTTCTTGTGTCCAAGTGTTCTCATTGTTCAGTTCCCACCTATGAGTGAGAACATGCAGTGTTTGGTTATCTGTTCTTGCGATAGTTTGCTGAGAATGATGGTTTCCAGCTGCATCCATGTCCCTACAAAGGACACAAACTCATCCTTTCTTATGACTGCATAGTACTCCACTATAGCGTATATGTGCCACATTTTCTTAATCCAGTCTGTCATTGATGGACATTTGGGTTGGTTCCAAGTCTTTGCTATTGTGAATAGTGCCGCAATAAACGTATGTGTGCATGTGTCTTTATAGCAGCATGATTTATAATCCTTTGGGTATATACCTAGTAATGGGATGGCTGGGTCATATGGTACATCTAGTTCTAGATCCTTGAGGAATCGCCATACTGTTTTCCATAATGGTTGAACTAGTTTACAATCCCACCAACAGTGTAAAAGTGTTCCTATTTCTCTACACCCTCTCCAGCACCTGTTGTTTCCTGACTTTTTAAAGATCGTCATTCTAACTGGTGTGGGATGGTATTTCATTGTGGTTTTGATTTGTATTTCTGATGGCAAGTGATGATGAGCATTTTCTTATGTGTCTGTTGGCTGCATAAATGTCTTCTTTTGAGAAGTGTCTGTTCATATCCTTCACCCACTATTTGATGGGGGTTTTTTCTTGTAAATTTGTTTAAGTTCTTTGTAGGTTCTGGATATTAGCCCTTTGCCAGATGAGTAGATTGCAAAAATTTTCTCCCATTCTATAGATTGCCTGTTCACTCTGACGGTAGTTTCTTTTGCTGTGCAGAAACTCTTTAGTTTAATTAGATCCCATTTGTCAGTTTTGACTTTTGCTGCCATTGCTTTTGGTGTTTTAGACATGAAGTCCTTGCCCATGCCTATGTCCTGAATGGTATTGCCTAGGTTTTATTCTAGGGTTTTTATGGTTTTTAGGTCTAACATTTACGTCTCTAATCCATTTTGAATTAATTTTTGTATAAGGTGTAAAGAAGGGATCCAGTTTCAGCTTTCTACATATGGCTAGCCAGTTTTCCCAGCACCATTTATTAAATAGAGAATCCATTCCCCATTTCTCGTTTTTGTCAAGTCGGTCAAAGATCAGATGGTTGTAGATGTGTGGTATTATTTCTGAGGGCTCTGTTCTGTTCCATTGGTCTCTATCTCTGTTTTGGTACCAGTACTATGCTGGTTTGGTTACTGCAGCCTCATAGTATAGTTTGAAGTCAGGTACCGTGATGCCTCCAGCTTTGTTTTTTTGGCTTAGGATTGTCTTAGCAATGTGGGCTCTTTTTTGGTTCCATATGAACTTTAAAGTAGTTTTTTCCAATTCTGTGAAGAAAGGCATTGGTAGCTTAATAAGGATGGCATTGAATCTACAAATTACCTTGGGTAGTATGGCTATTTTCACGATGTTGATTCTTTCTATCCATGAGCATGGAATGTTCTTCCATTTGTTTGTGTCCTCTTTTATTTCATTGAGCAGTGGTTTGTAGTTCTCCTTGAAGAGGTCTTTCACATCCCTTGTAAGTTGGATTCCTAGGTATTTTATTCTATTTGAAGCAATTGTGTATGGGAGTTCACTCATGATTTGACCCTCTGTTTGTTATTGGTGTATAAGAATGCTTGTGATTTTTGCACATTGATTTTGTATCCTGAGACTTTGCTGAAGTTGCTTATCAGCTTAAGGAGATTTTGGGCTGAGACAATGGGGTTTGCTAAATATACAATCATGTTATCTGCAAACAGGGACAATTTGACTTCCTCTTTTCCTAAGTGAATACCCTATATTTCTTTCTCCTGCCTGATTGCCCTGGCCAGAACTTTGAACACTGTCTTGAATAGGAGTGGTGAGAGAGGGCATCCCTGTCTTGTGCCAGTTTCTGCCCATTCAGTATGATATTGGCTGTGGGTTTGTCATAAATAGCTCTTATTATTTTGAGATATGTTCCATCAATACCGAATTTATTGAGAGTTTTTAGCATGAAGGGCTGTTGAATTTTGTCAAAGGCCTTTTCTGCATCTATTGAGATAACCATGTGTTGTCCTTGGTTCTGTTTATATGCTGGATTACGTTTATTGATTTGCGTATGTTGAACCAGCCTTGCATTCCAGGGATGAAGCCCACTTGATCATGGTGGATAAGCTTTTTGATGTGCTGCTGGATTCGGTTTGCCAGTATTTTATTGAGGATTTTTGCATTGATGTTCATCAGGGATATTGGTCTAAAATTCTCTTTTTTTGTTGTGCCTCTGCCAGGCTTTGGTATCAGGATGATGTTGGCCTCCTAAAATGAGTTAGGGAGGATTCCCTCTTTTTGTATTGATTGGAATAGTTTCAGAAGGAATGGTACCAGCTCCTCCTTGTACCTCTGGTAGAATTCAGTTGTGAATCCGTCTGGTCCTAGACATTTTTTGGCTGGTAGGCTATTAATTATTGCCTCAATTTCAGAGCCTGTTATTGGTCTATTCATGGATTCAACTTCTTCACGGTTTAGTCTTTGCAGAGTGTATGTGTCCAGGAATTTATCCATTTCTCCTAGGTTTTCTAGTTTATGTGTGTAGAGGTGTTTATAGTATTCTCAGATGGTAGTTTGTATTTCTGTGGGATTAGTGGTGATATCCCCTTTATCATTTTTTTATTGTGTCTATTTGATTCTTCTCTCATTTCTTCTTTATTAGTCTTGCTAGCAGTCTATTAATTTTGTTGATCTTTTCAAACAACCAGCTCCTGGATTCATTGATTTTTTGCAGAGTTTTCTTGTCTTGATCTCCTTCAATTCTGCTCTGATCTTAGTTATTTCTTGCCTTCTGCTAGCTTTTGAATGTATTTTCTCTTGCTTCTCTAGTTCTTTTCACTGTGATGTTAGGGTGTCAATTTTAGATCTTTCCTGATTTGTGTGCATTTAGTGCTATAAATATCCCTCTACACACTGCTTTAAATATGTCCCAGAGATTCTGGTATGTTGTATCTTTGCTCTGGTATGTTGTATCATTGGTTTCAAAGGACATCTTTATTTCTGCTTTCATTTCATTATGTACTCAGTAGTCATTCAGGAGCAGGTTGTTCAGTTTCCATATAGTTGAGTGGTTTTGAGTGAGTTTCTTAATCCTGAGTTCTAGTTTGATTGCACCATGTTCTGAGAGACAGTTCGTTATAATTTCTGTTCTTTTACATTTGCTGAGGATTGCTTTACTTCCAACTATGTGGTCAATTTTGGAGTATGTACGATGTGGTGCTGAGAAGAATGTATATTCTGTTGATTTGGGGAGGAGAGTTCTGTAGATGTCTATTAGGTCCACTTGGTGCAGAGTTGAGTTCAATTCCTGGATATCCTTGTTAACTTTCTGTCTTGTTGATCCATCTAATGTTGACAGTAGGGTGTTAAAGTCTCCCATTATTAATGTGTGGGAGTCTAAGTCTCTTTGTAAGTCTCTAAGGACTTGCTTTATGAATCTGGGTGCTCCTCTATTGGGTGCATATATATTTAGGATAGTTAGCTCTTCTTGTTGAATTGATCCCTTTACCATTATGTAATGGCCTTCTTTGTCTCTTTTGATCTTTGTTGGTTTAAAGTCTGTTCTATCAGAGAGTAGGATTGAAACCTTTGCCTTTTTTTGTTTGTTTGTTTTACATTTGCTTGGTAGATCTTCCTCTATCCCTTTATTTTGAGCATATGTGTGTCTCTGCATCTGAGATGGTTCTCCTGAATACAGCACACTGATTGGTCTTGACTCTTTATCCAATTTGCCAGTCTGTGTCTTTTAATTGGACCATTTAGCCCATTTACATTTAAGGTTAATATTGTTGAATTTGATCCTGTCATTATGATGTTAGCTGGTTATTTTGCTCGTTAGCTGATGCAGTTTCTTCCTAGCATTGATGGTCTTAACAATTTGGCATGTTTTTGCACTGGCCGGTACCAGTTGTTCCTTTCCACGTTTAGTGCTTCCTTCAGGAGGTCTTGTAGGGCAGGCCTCTCAGCATTTGCTTGTCTGTAAAGGATTTTACTTCTCCTTCACTTATGAAACTTAGTTTGGCTGGATATGAATTTCTGGGTTGAAAATTCTTTTCTTTAAGAATGTTGAATATTGGCCCCCACTCTCTTCTGGCTTGTAGAGTTTCTGCCGAGCGATCCACTGTTAGTCTGATGGGTTTCCCTTTGTGGGTAACCTGATCTTTCTCTCTGGCTGCCCTTAACATTTTTTCCTTCATTTCAACTTTGGTGAATCTGACAGTTACGTGTCTTGGAGTTGCTCTTCTCGAGGAGTACCTTTGTGGCATTCTTTGTATTTCCTGAATTTGAATGTTGGCCTGCCTTACTAGGTTGGGGAAGTTCTCCTGGATAATATCCTGCAGAGTGTTTTCCAACTTGGTTCCATTCTCCCCATCACTTTCACATACACCAATCAGATGTAGATTTGGCCCTTTCACATAGTCCCATATTTCTTGGAAGCTTTGTTCATTACTCTTTTTTCTCTAACCTTCTCTTCTCGCTTCATTTCATTCATTTTATCTTCAATCACTGATACCCTTTCTTCCCGTTGAAACAATTGGTTACTGAAGCTTGTGCATTCATCACATAGTTCTCGTGCCATGGTTTTCAGCTCCATCACATCATTTAAGGACTTTTCTACATTAGTTATTCTAGTTAGCCATTCATCTAATCTTTTTTCAAAGTTTTTAGCTTCTTTGTGATGGGTTTGAACTTCCTCCTTTAGCTCGGAGAAGTTTGATTGTCTGAAGCCTTCTTCTCTCAACTTGCCAAAGTCATTCTCCGACCAGCTTTGTTTCATTGCTGGCGAGCAGCTGCGTTCCTTTGGAGGTGGCCGGGGGGCACTTTGATTTTTAGTATTTTCAGTTTTTCTGCTGTTTTTTTCCCATCTTTGTGGTTTTATCTACCTTTGGTCTTTGATGATGGTGACATACAGATGGGGTTTTGGTATGGATGTCCTTTCTGTTTGTTAATTTTCCTTCTAACAGTCAGTACCCTCAGCTGCAGGTCTGCTGGAGTTTGCCGGAGGTCCATTCCAGACCTTGTTTGCCTGGGTATCAGTAGCGAAGGCTGCAGAACAGTGAATATTGCTGAACAGCAAATGTTGCTTCCTGACTGTTCCTCTGGAAGCTTCGTCTCAGAGGGGTGCCCAGCCATGTGAGGTCTGCCCCTACTGGGGGGTGCCTCCCAGTTAGACTACTCAGGGGTCAGGGACCCAATTGAGGAGGCAGTCTGTCTCAGATCTCAAACTCCATGCTGGGAGAACCACTACTCTCTTCAAAGCTGTCAGACAGGGTCATTTAAATCTGCAGAGGTTTCTGCTGCCTTTTGTTTGGCTATGCCTTGTCCTCAGAGGTGGAGTATACAGTGGGAGGTAGGCCTCCTTGAGCTGTGGTGGGCTCTGCCCACTTCGAGCTTCCTGGCCACTTTGTTTACCCCTCAAGCCTCAGCAATGGTGGGCACCCCTCCCTTAGCCTCGCTGCCATCTTGCAATTAGATCACAGACTGCTGTGCTAGCAATGAGGGAGGCTCAGTGGGCATGGGACTCTCTGAGCCAGGCACAGGATATAATCTCCTGGTGTGCCATTTGCTAAGACCCTTGGAAAAGCACAGTATTAGGGTGGGAGTGACCCGATTTTCCAGGTGTTGTGTGTCGTGGTTTCCCTTGGCTAGGAAAGGGAATTCCCTTACCTTTTGCACTTCCCAGGTGAGGTGATGTCTCGCCCTGTTTCAGCTCTTGCTCGGTGGGCTGCTCCCATTGTCCTGCACCCACTGTCTGACACGCCCCAGTGAGATGAACTCCATACCTCAGTTGGAAATGCAGAAATCACCTGTCTTCTGCTTCGCTCATGCTGGGAGCTGTAGCCTGGAGCTGTTCCTATTCTGCCATCTTAGATTCAATCTACTTTTTGAGATCAGGCATAATGACTGATTCATTTCTATATTCCCAGCGGCCGTCTGGGGTGTGTGTGTGTGTGTGTGTGTGCGTGCTGGAAAAGGAAATATACATCTTCTAGAATAAGAAATTTGTTAAGGTCTTGATTCTCCTTACTATCACGACATCTTTCTAAATAAGTTTTATTCTCTGTCCTCATTAAGACTCAACGGAGAACCACATCTGTGTAAGTTGGTTTATCCCCACACTTTTATTCTTTTGTCTACAACAATGTTTGGGGTAAAAGAACCCATGCAACTAACAGCCCCAGCTTCCCAAATGATTGAAGAAAAAAAAAAAATAAAAAGCCATTTAATGGAAATGGCTTTCCATTAAAGGAGAAAATAAAAAAAAAAATTCCATTATTCCTCCATTTTTAAATACATTTCACATGTTTCTGGAATTTAGCTTCTCTCATCTGACTGAATCGGTCTTGTTATCAAGTGAGAAAAGTACATATTCACTTCCTATTTTCCCTGCTTTCTCTACCTAACCTACGAGGTAGAAAATGAAGAGGAAGTATTATGTAGAAGCAACACGAACTTTCTAGGTTCATATCTAATATCTCTACCTAAAATCTTTGTGGTCCATAAAAATCTTATTAAACTATGCAAGTTTCAGAATCCACAACAATAAAATGTGTAGAATAATGAATACTCTGCAAAATTGTTTCAAAATCAGAGATAATGTATAAAGTTTTCAGAATAAATTAATTATGTCTTAATAAGTAGTAAACAATCTTAAGAAACTTTGTTTCAACTTTTTAATTTCAGTAATAATCTCTGATGTAGATATGTGCAAACTCATTTGAAACTTACACAATTAATTAAAAATTATAGCCTTATCACCTTATAAAGCAAAGATTATCTGAGCTTACAAAGAGTTGTATAAAATAGATTCTATTTGTCCTAAATTTATATTTCAACCCATGTGTCACATAAATGTATTGCACTGGAGAAGCATGAAGAATTTTGGATCATCTCATATATTCTACCGTGGTTTTACGGGCCCTTGAAAGGTAAGAAAATTTTTTTCTTGGCAGGGCACTGGGGCTTACACCTGTAATCCCAGCATTTTGGGAGGCCAAGGTGGGCGAATCATGAGGTCAGGAGATCGAGACCATTTCCTGAAGCAGGAGAATCGCTTGAACCCAGGAGGCAGAGGCTGCAGTGAGCCGAGATTGGGCTGCTGCACTCCAGCCTGGGTGACAGAGCGAGACTCTGTCTCAAACAAACAAACAAACAAACAAACAAACAGTTTCCTTAATTCTATGAGAGAAACAGAGAAAGTTGCTTGAGATAAAACACTCTGAGCAGACCATATAAGTAGTTCCCGGAAAAATCTCTCTGAAAGTTGCTCCTCAAGAGTCTCTTCTCTATTCAAACCTTGCAATGTTTTGGATGTTTCTTGTGTTCAGCTTGTATTTCCCTTACATAATCACTTTTAGCCTTACTTTTAGCCTCACAGAAAGGACATACACTAATTGCAAGTCAAACTCTGGAAATTTTTCCAAGCAACTTATTTTGTCTTTGAGTTGTCACTGAGGCAAACAAATGGAGAAACAGCCATCAAAGCGAATTTGAGATGGGTGTTAAAAAACGACTCTTACTTGATTTGGTTCAACAATATTAACATTCAATTAACAGGAATTATGTCTCTGAGATTGGTGTTTTGAAACTAAACTTTATTCTGCAGTCTGTTTGATGGAACAGGGAATTAGGGAACAAATTTTCTTTATATCCCTCCACTTATTGTTTTTGCCAATCAGCCAGTGATTTATTGAACACCTACCACGTGCAAGGCAGAAAGAAATACCAGGAGCTGAAAAACCACTCATTCATGCCGACTCTATGTTTTAGAACAGTGGTTAAAAATTACCTGTTTCTAAGTACTCATAGAAAAGCCCAAGGGGTCCAAAACTTTCAAGGTCATGATCCTGCTCCCATCGACTATACAGCTTCTCAGAGTTTGTCCGAGCTTTTCGGCGTCTCCACCAATTCAAAGCCAAGCTGTTGGAAATAATAAAAGTTAATATATGAAATATAACTAACAAGAAAACGATCAGAGAATCAGAGTGGTAGATCTGGAAACTAGCAGAAATTAGAGATTGAAAAACTTAAGATCACAGAGCAAAGGGAAATGACTCCAGCCAAAGCACAAATCAAAATCTAGTGTTCTTTTCATGATACATGCAGAAGTCAAGAGTTCTTTATTAGGGTGATCGAGAAAATAAGACAATCTTTACTCTGTTCAGAGAAATATATTCACTCAGAGACAGCTTGGCTAAGGAATAAGTGGAGGAGAGGGTTATCACTAAAAACCACTTACTAATCCTGATGCTGTCATGACGCTCAGAAGAAAATTCAAACAAATATGAAATTTATTATAATAGGAAATGACTTAAATAATGTGAAAATACATACAATAACATTAAACAAAATTTTAACCAACTGTATTCCATGCTATATAAAAAGATGATATATCATGAGAATGCATTACTTTTTATAAAAAGAGACTTTTAAAAAAGAAAATCAAATTAGCAAATCAATAAATATATTACATTGACTGGTTTGAGGTGAAAAATATAAAATCATCTCTATTGATGCAGAAAAATGCATTTGATGTATTAAAACCTACTTAGGAAAGAAAAGTAGAAACAGAAAAAAAAAATTATTTCAATCTTATCAGAAATATCTACTAAAATCCTAGGGCAAACTTTTCCTTCCTTCCTTCCTTCCTTCCTTCCTTCCTTCCTTCCTTCCTTCCTTCCTCCCTCCCCTCCTCTTTTCTTTCTTTCTCTTCCTTCCTTTCTTCCTTTCTTTCTCTTTCTTTCTTTTTCTTTTTCTTTTCCTTCCTTCATTCCTTCCTTTTCCTTCCCTTCCCCTTCCTTCTCTTCCCTTTCCTTCCTTCCTTCCTTCCTTCCTTCCTTCCTTCCTTCCTTCCTTCCTTCCTTCCCTTCCTTCCTCCCCCTCCCTTCCTCTCACTCTCTTTCTCTCTCTCCTTTTATCTTCCTCTATGTCTGTCTCCTTTCTTTCTTTCTTTTTTGAGACAGGGTCTCACTCTGCCACTCAGGCTGGAGTGCAGTGGTGCAATCACAGCTCACTGCAGCCTTGACCTTTTCTCCTGCCTCCACCTCCCAAGTAGCTGGGACTAAAGGCATGTGCCTTCATGCCTGGCTAATTTTTAAATTTTATTCTGTATGATGGGGTCTCATTTTGTTGCCCAGGCTGGTCTTGAACTCCTGGGCTCAAGCGATCCTCCCTCCTCAACCTCCCAAAGTGTTGGGATTACAGGCATGAGCCAATGCACCAGGCTGCAAACATCATTCATAATAGGAAAAAGTCTGAAGCATTCACTTTAGAATCAAGAACAAAATAAGAATTTGCATGATCACATTCAAGATTACTGGAGATCTTAGGTGTAAAATAAAATAAGAAAGGCAAAATCATTGGAAATAAAGGAGAAATCTGTGATTATTAACAGTGATGTGATTGAATAGAAAACCCAAGTGAAGTCAGATAAAATAATTAGAAATGATATTAGGATTTATTAATATATTTCATTCCTGTACACCCACAACACACAAGTAGAAAACATACATATTTTTAAAAAGATATCATTTACAATAGCAAATAAAAACTACCTAGAAATTGACGTGACAAAAGATTTATAAGACCTATATGTAGAAGTTTAAAATATTTATTAGAATTCATTAAAGTCCATTTTAAGTGTTCACGAGTAAGAAGGCTTGGTATTATTTTTAAAAATTCAACGGTTTATATTGAAACAATTAAAATATAATTTCAATGAAAAATTATTTTTCCATGTAAAATCTGACAAGATGTTTATAAAATTTATATAGATTGATAAAAGACCAAGAATAGCCAAGACAGTTCTACAAATAAAAAATAAGTTGATAAATGTTGCCCCACTAGATATCAAGACTTAGAAAACTGTATTAATTAAGAGATTGTAGTACTGTATTCACAATAGCAAAGACATGGAATCAACCTAAATGTCCATCAGTGGTAGAGTAGATAAAGAAAATGTGGTACACATACACCATGGAATGCTAGGCATCTATAGAAAAGAACAAGATAAGATCATGTTCTTGGCAGGAACATGGATGGAGCTGGAGGTCATTATCCTTAGCAAACTAATGCAAGAACAGAAAACCAAATACCACATGCTCTCACTTATAAGTGAGAGACAAATGATGAAAACACATGGACACATAGAGTGGAACAGCACACACTGGGGCCTATCAGAAGGTGGAGTGTGGGAAGAGGGAGAGGATCAGGAAGAATAATTATTGGGTATTAGATTTAATACCTGGATGATAAAATAATCTATACAACAAACCCCCAAGACACAAGTTACTTGTGTAACAAACCTGCACATATACCTCTGAACTTAACAGTTAAAAAAAGAGAGAGATTGCTGTACTTGTACAGGGATAAATAAATCTTAGGATAGAATGGAAAACTTGAAATAGTCTTGCACTTGGTATAATTGTAGATAGTATTTATATGACATGTAGATAGTGTTTATATGGCATGTGGATAGTGTTTATATGGCATAAAAAGTATTGTAGATAATATTGTATGAGATGAATAGTATTCTAGATGATGGAGCACAGGAAAAAGGAACTTTTCAATAAATGGTAATATAAGGGTTTATACAATATATAGTTTATAGATATATATACACACATATATGTACAAAATAGACTTGTATCTCATATCAAACATAAAAATCCTGTCCATACGTATTTAGAATTTGAAAGTGAAAAACAATAATGTTAGAATGTATAAAAAATTTAGAAGTAAGTATATGAGAATATCTTTGTGTATGTCTGTGTGTTTCCATATAACTTTTTTATCAGTACATCTGCATATCCAGTATTTTGCCTAGAACCTTACTTTTGGCATAACTTTAACAGACATAGGAAATAATAATGAAAATGTCTTATATTCCCGGGTAGGAAAATATTTCTTAAACAATTGTTTAAAAATGCTAACCCACAAAATAAAAGATTGATAAATTCTACCATATTAAAGTTATGTAATTTTGTTCATCTAAAGCAATGGTTTCCAACTGGGAGTAATTTTGCCCACAATGACACAATTGCACTCTCTGGGGATATTTTGGTTGTCCCAACTGGAGAGGGATGGTTTACTGGCATCTAGTGGATAGAGTCCAAAGATACTGTTAAACATCTTACAATGCAAAGGATAACCCATACCCCACAACTAAGAATTATACCAATAATTCTGTGGTTGTGACACTGTGACCTAAACATACTATTAAAAAATAAAAAGATGACAGTTCGTCTTAGAATAAAATGTTTTCAACATATATAACCAAAAAAGAAGCAAATAAACAAAAACCAGTAGCCAGAAGTTTAAAAGTATTCACAGAAATAAATTGAAAAAAAGATTGACAAGTAGGAAAATGGTTAAACAACATGAATAAGCATTTAATCGAAAAGGAAACAAATATGGCCAAAAATCCTTATTCGTGGTTAATCAGAAAAAATTATACTAAAATGAGATATCATTTATAACCCTCAGTTGACAAAAATTAATAAGACAGTATGAAGTACTATAGCAAATGTGGATTAAGAGGAACATTTATATATTGCTTATACTCAAGTTAAAACACAAAGAGGAAAAATGAATGATGTAGAGGAAAAAGCACCTGTGATTTCTGAGACAATATCAAACAGATGAGCACACTGTAACTGAAGTCACAGTGGAAAAGAGATCATCCAGTTCAAGAAAGAGAACATGGCTAGAAATTTCAGAAGCTCTTTCATGTGCTTCATTCCATTTATAAATTCTTCAATAACCACGTCCATAGCCATTATCTTAAATTTTATAATAATCACTTCCTTGCTTTTTTAAAAACTAGTTTTGTCTATGATTCATTTTGAGTTCATTTATGAATGAGGTGTAAGTTTCACATAGCTTTTTATTATTTTGTATATGGGATGTCCAATTGTTCCAACACCATTTACGAAAAAGCCTACTCTTTCATCAATGAATTGTTTTTGCACCTGTCTTAAATTAAATGGTCCTGTTTGGCTAGAGCACAAATTTCTGCAATAGCTGTTTCTACAATCTCTACTCTGTTCCACTGGTTTAAATAACTATCCCTTCACCAATCCTACATTGTCTTGATTAATGTAGTTTTTAGTAAGCCTTCAAATTGAGTAGGGTATTTCTTACAGCTTTATTCTTCTTTTATAATACTTCTTTGGGTTATTTTAGTTCATTGGTCTTCCATATAAATTTTAGAATCCACTTGTCTATACCTATAAAAATTCTGCTGATATTTTGATCATAGCAACAATAAAGCGATATATCAATTTGGGGATAATTGACCACCAACATGGTATTTCTCACCATTTATATAGTTTTAAAATTTCTTTAAGATTTTATAGTTCTCCCTATACAAATTCTATATGATTTTAGATTCTACAAAATTATTTCATTTGTTTGGAGCTAACAAATTCTGTGCTAACCAATGTTTCTTGCATCCTGTACTTTCACTTTGTGATCTCCTTTTGCTCAAGAAAATCTTTCAGTAGATCTTTCCATGACAATCTATTCATGCAAACTCTCCTAGTCTTTTCATGTCTAAAAATGTCTATTTTACCAGCACCGTAAATAATAGTTAACTTGGTTCTAGAAATGAAAAGGGAACATTATTTTCACTGAGAACCTTGAAAATACTGTCTTTTGGCATCTAATGCTATTGATGAGAAGCTGATGATAGTATAGATGACATTCATTTGAATAAAGTTAATCTCTTTCATCTAAGATTTTTAAAGATTGTCTTTTTATCTTTGGTGTCCTGTAGTTTCACAATAATGAATCTGGGTGTGAACTGAATTATATTGTCTTGAATTGAATTCTAGTATCTTGATTCATACTCAGAATTTGTTTCCATTTCTGAAACTTGTGTTTTTCCTCATTTTTGAAAAATGTTCAGCAATTACCTATTCAAATATTTTTTTCCTTCACCATTCACTCAATTACCTTTTTCTGGAACTACTAGTAGATTAATGTGGAAGCCTCTTAATCTAACATACCCTTATTTTATTTTTATTAAATGTCATATATTTGTTACACTGTATAAGGTAGGTATTTCTCACTATTATTTTCCAATTCACTAATACATTCTTCAAACAAGTCCAGGCTGGAATTGTACTCTGGAATTTTCCCATCTATTGTATTCATTATTTAAAGTATAATTTTTCACATATGTGCAATTGCTTCCATTTCATATTTACTTATTCTTGTTTCATTTCTGTCCATTTTTATTTATTTCCTTATCTGTTTTAATGACAGTATCACCTTCCCTTATGTTGTTAGTATTATCAACATCATTTTTTAAGGGCTTTGCCAGAATATTCTAGTTAGAAATATCAGCTGGAGTAAGTTCGCTTTCTAATAATTGACTTTGTTCACAGCCTTTGTAGCATTAAATATTATCACGTTTTGAAATTCTGGTTATTAGGAAGGCTCAGGGTTTTTTGTTGTTAATTTGCTTTATTTATTTATTTATTTATTTATTCTTTTACCTCCCCTGTCTTTTGTCTCTCTCCCTCTCTGTGCATATGTATCCCCCATCTTCTGTTTGGTTTAGGTATTGCCTCCATTCAGTCCTCTGGGTTCTCAATCTAGAGCCAGAACTTAAAATAAAAGTTTGGGGGCCAGGCACGGTGGCTCACGCCTGTAATCCCAGCACTTTGGGAGACTGAGGCGGGTGGATCACCTGAGGCCAGGAGTTCCAGACCAGCCTGGTCAACATGGTGAAACCCTATCTATACTAAAATTACAAAAACTTAGCTGGGTGTGGTGGCGTGTGCCTATAATCCCAGCTACTCAGGAGGCTGAGGCAGGAAAATTGCTTGAACCCGGGAGGCGGAGGTTGCAGTGAGCTGAGATTGCGCCATTGCACTCTAGTGTGGGTGACACAGTGTGACTCTGTCTCAAAAAAAAAAAAAAAGGTTTGGCTATTTCCCTTATGGATGTGGTATATCTAAGCATGAAACTAGAAGGCTAGGCTCACATTTATTGCCATTTGTGAGGATAAGTCCGTGCTCCTCTTTTGTTAGTACTTGAAATAGAGCCCTAAGTGCCACTATGAAGTTGTGTATATATTGGAGGTGGGAAGGTGCAGGGCTGGTGTTTTCAATCTTCTTTCATGTGTGAGAATAAACCCAGTCTCTGGCTTCAAGTACAGTTAAACTGGATGAGCCTCTGTATTAAGTGGAGCACTTTTACTCCACTTTATATTGCATACCAAGCCCTGACACACTCATTTCCTAACTAGGAGCCGTGCAGGATCGTAGACTTATGATTTTATAATTCTTTCTCTTTTTATCCATGACAATGTCCATCCACTATTTGAGATAAATTGTCAGTTTAGTTTTCTCTTTTTATAATGTATTCATTATTGCTGTGTTTTGATCAGAGAGCAATCTTTCATGTATTGACCTGAAAGTCTCCATCATTTCATTTACAATCTATTTTTATGCCTAGATTGCATGACACATGGATATTTTTACAAAGTTTACCTTTTAGTAATATTCAGAAATAATACACAGCATGTAGAATAAACTGCAGAGGATATAGCATTTAGATGTCCCAGTGAAATCTTCACAGGAGAGAAAAGTAACAAAAATGTACATTTAAAAGATTGTATTTAAAACATTATATTGTGCCTCATAAATATAGATAATTATTATTTGTGCAATAAATTTTTAAAACCTTGCCAGCCATGGAACCAAAATAAATAAATTTAAAAAAACAAGAGTTTATATTACTTTAATGCAACCTTCACTGTTGATTAAAAATAAAACTTTCTTTTGGCTTAAACATTTTCTAACAAAGGCATCATGATAATCAAAAAAAATCCATCTTGTTCCAGAGGAAAACTCTCATGGTTACTTAAATCAAATAAAAAGCTTGTAAGTCATACATACGGATAAATGGCTTCTTTAATGTTTCCAAAAATCTGTTTTCCGGTCATTATAATGGTCAGTTGTGTTGTCAATTCTATAAGACAGCCTCCAGGATCACACTAGTCAGAAGCAAGATGGGAGAAAACAGAACTGAATGATCAAAAAGATGGAAATTTGCAACACCTAAAGGAAACCCTAAACCATAAGATTAGAATCTCGAGGTTTTGGTTGGAAGGGGTAAGATATATTTAGTCCAATAGTTCCAAACCTGATCACAGACCAGTGCCGGGTTAGCTGCATTAGATTCATCTGTGAACTGTGTTAAAAAACACAGATTTCTGGATCTCATTCTTAGAAAATTCTGAGTCTTTATATCTGGGTTAGGGTTGGGAGTTGTTATATCTTCCATTCTCCAAAATTTGGAAACCATAGATCTAACTCTACTACCTATAGTGGAACTATTTCTACAGAAAGTAATCAGTCTTCCCTTGTAGGAAATTTTTAGGAATAGACTTTATGTCATTTTATGTCTCATATTTTACTGCCAAACCATAGGCAAAATGTAACTTCTTGCTCAAAAATAAACTGAGAAGTTTATCAAATGACAGGATTCATCTGTGAACAATACTCTCTATGGATACAGTCAGTGTCTAGGTATCTTTTGTAATTTTTTAGCATATGAATCAGTGCTTGGCACACAGAAAGTGGTTAATACTGAGGTATTGAAGCTACACACCTTACCTCACCTCTCAAGGAAATTCTTACCTCTTCACTTCTCCACTCATCAAATAAATATGTGTATTTTCCGGGATAGCCTACAAACTTCCCTTTAAAGAAAGCTACGTAGAAGCAGGATGAGTAAAAATTTACAAACTGAAACAGGAACATTTTCAAGGTAAGACTGCTCTCATACTCCTGGTATGTTCGAGGAATTTCTATTAAGTAAAAAAAAAAAAAAAAATCGTTCAGTGCATCTTCTTATTTTTCCTTGAACTTCGTACTCCCTGGGACAAGTGAACATCAAGTAACTACAGATTTGTGTTAGATTTTCTGTTATACACTTTGTATTAAACTAACCACTGGAAAAGCCTAGGAAGCCGTTGTTACCACAGTCAGAGAGACAGCATTCTTGTCTTGGGGTTACACAGAATTCGAAATTCAAACCCAGATGATATGGTTTGGCACTCTGTCCCAAGCAAAATCTCAAGTCAAATCGTAATTCCCACGTGTCAAGGGAGGGACCTGGTGGGAGGACATTGAATCATGGGGGTGGTTTCCCCCATGCTGTTCTCTTGGTGTTGAGTGAATTCTCAAGAGATCTCATAGTTTTATTTATTTGTTTATTTTTGAGATGGAATCTCATTCTGTCACCCAGGTGGAGTGCAGTGGTGTGATCTTGGCACACTGGAACCTCCACCTCCCAGGTTCAAACAATTCTCCTGCCTCATCCTCCTGAGTAACTGGGACTACAGACGTGTGCCACCACGTCTGGCTAATATTTTTGTATTTTTAGTAGAGAAAGGGTTTCACCATGTTGGCCAGGCTGGTCTCAAACTCCTGACTTTGTGATCTGCCCGCCTGGCCTCCCAAAGTGCTGGGATTCCAGGTATGAGCCACCACACCCGGCCATTTGAGAGCTAATGGTTTGAAAGTGTGGCACTTCCCCATGTACTCTCTCTCTCTGCTGCTGCCTTATGAAGAAGGTGTTTGTTTCCCCTTTACCTTCCACCATGATTGTTAAGTTTCCTGAGGCCTCACCAGCCATGTGAACCGTGAGTCAATTAAACCTCTTTCCTTTACAAACTACCCAGTCTCAGGTAGTATCTTTATAGCAGTGTGAAAACGAACTAATACACCAAATAAGAAAATGAAATAATACACCAAATAAGAAACTTATGCTCATCTCCAAACACTATCTGCTATCCTATAAGCCACTAGAACTCATCTGTTTACAATCAGCTTTGAAGAAAATAAGCTCATGTCAAGGGCGGGGATGATTTCCAACAAAATTGTGTTGCCCTCTCATGAATTCAATGGCTATATTAATTTTGAAAATAATGTGATTAGCAAATAGTGGCAGAAATAGTACACATTTTCCCTCTCCTTTATTTAAAATGCATGATCATGATCTGTCATTTAATGAATTCTAAAGATAACAAACTATTAAATTATCTTCACTCTGAAATAGAGGGTCATGAAGCACAAAAATGTAGAAAAGTATATTTTCCTGAGCTGATGATCTCCCAGTAGTATGAGCTGATCCAGCCAAATCATGACATTTTCAGCAATACTGAAAGTATCACAAAATATTTTAAAGACACAGATAACTCCCCCATTTTAGTGAAATGTAGCTGTATTCCTACAAAACTTGTAATGTGAACTTGAATGATTTTATTTTCCCACTGAGGAAAACGGTGAGGTGCTTTTAAAAGCAATTTATCTGCTGTGATTTTCTCACTGTTGACAGCAGAAGTAAAAATGAGAGAGAACTCCAAATTTGAAGATAGTATATGATGAAAGTCTCATCTCAGTGCTCATTCCAGCGCTGACTGAATAATGTGGTCTTTTGCTTGACATCGGCCATGATGTCTGTGTACAACAGATTCAAAGGAGCTTGAGCCCTGGAGTGAACACTCAGAGAAGAGGCTGATGCCTTGATTTGAGTCTCCGATCTTACCGTTAACTTGCCAGGTAAAAGAGCAAAAGCGACTGTGCTCTGTGCTGCTCTACCTAACTCAATCTCTCACTTAACCTGTGATCCCTTTCAATTACTTTCCCCGTGGCTTTAAGTAGAAATTTTAATATTTTAACAAGAAAATAATCCAAGTTCTATGAGATGGCAGTAGAAAAGAAAAGCACTAAAATTTAGATTTATTTAGGAGAAGCTGACTTTTCTGTTTTTTCAGAATAACTTCCAAAATCAATACTTTCTAAGAACCATACACATGAAATAACAATTATCTGTGTCTTCAGTAAAGTGATTATTTTTCTTAGGATTCAACCAGACCCATCAAGGGAGAATTAAGACAAGAATACTCAGAAAGATAAAGAGAGTCCAAATTCTTATTTTTTTTTCCAGTTCTTTTTGCTGCTTCCGTTATAATGGACCTTGAATTGTGGCTCTTAAGCAATTTTGAAATAGCAGATATGAGTCTACCTATAGAGAAAAATTGCCTTAAAAGGTACCCTTTGAAAATGAACTCCTGGGGAGCTGATCCAAAATAGACATATACCATCAATAAGAATCATTCTTCAGAATCACACTAATGATTTGGCGAGCTTACCCATTTTTGTGATCCACGCAGATATCTTTTCATAAAAGAAATTCAAAATCAAGATGACAATAAAGTTCAAGCATGATCCTGTGAGTGATGTGGTTATCTGAGGAGTAAGGAAGCTTTTGACCTGCTTTAAGGATGCATCACTTTCCATGAAACTAGCAAGTGTAGCAAAGACTGACAGGCGGTACACAATTACAGCTACCATACTGGTGACGACAAGAGACATCTGGGAAAGGAAAACAAAGAACTGCTATTTGGGTCTCTGCATCTCTGTTAGGAATACATATCTAACATATTGATTATTCTGTTAATCTCATTATATGAAGTTTAGCAGGTCTCATGTGCAAAGCAAACTAAGTCAGTCTCTCTTTCCCTAGATGGCAAGATGTGAACACTGGCAAAGTAAAAGGGTTAAAGATAAGGCATATACTAGTTGCTGGTTAAGTCTAAAAGGAACGTCTTCATTGTTCATCCTCTAGGTTTATCCTCTAGTAGGGAGTGGCAACCTATAGCAGAAGGCCAAATCCTGCTTGGGCTTTGCCTGATCTTATATGGTCCTTAAGTTAGGAATGTTCTTTTGCTTTTTTTTTTTTTTTTTTAGACGGAGTCTCGCTCTGTTGCCCAGGTTGGAGTGCAGTGGCGCAATGTTGGCTCACTGCAAGTTCCGCCTCCCGAGTTAAGCGATTCTCCTGCCTCAGCCTCCTTAGTAGATAGGACTATAGGCGCCTGCCACCACACTTGGCTAATTTTTTGTATTTTTAGTAGAGACGGGGTTTCACCGTGTTAGCCAGGATGGTCTTGATTTCCTGACCTCGTGATCCGCCCACCTCGGCCTCCCAAAGTGCTGGGATTACAAGCATGAGCAACCGCGCCCAGCCTTCTTTGGCATTTCTAAAGGTTATAGAGAAAAGTAAAGGCAATTATGTTCCAGAGACTATATGTGGCACAAAGCCAAAAATATATCTGCCTCCTTTACAGAAAATGTTTGCTGATGCATGCTCTACATTGAAGTTGAAGATGTAGAATCAAGATCACTTATTTTCCTAAGAAAAATACATGCCAATATTGCATTTCACTTCCCCTCGGAATATTGCCATTAGTGCTCTAATATGCCTGGTAGTTTAGAAATTTATATAGATTCTGTATAAATTTTATACACTTCCAATATTGCAAAAGCACAAAGATGGCTATCAATCATTAGAAATTTTATTCTAAAAGTTGAGGAAATGAGTCAAATTAAATGAAAACTAGAAATCACAAACGGAAAATTTTCTGGGGATATACTCCAGATTTCTCAAAGGAGAGTCCTGAATTAATGATTCTCCCCGTCTTATTTTATCACATCTCCTTGATGATTATTACATAATCTAAGAAAACATATTTTTACTGTTTTAAAATATAAAAATAATAGATTTAACAAGAAATGTTAAAGATAAATCATATGGGGTTTATGGACTGGTGAGTCTAAACTATAGTCTACAACTGTCAATTATTTATATTTCAACATGCTAACTAACCCCTTAGAAGGTAACACTGCCTGCTTTCCTAAAATTAAACATTAACTGTTAAGAGGGAACACATTTGGAAAAAGGAAGAGCAGGAAATAAAGTGGAAATAAAGATACATTCATGATTTTTCTAAACTAACCAAAGAGTCTGGAATCAGAGTAAGTTTGTTATTCTGTCCTGATTTCAAGTGATCACTTAAATGAAGTGTTGTGAGGCAGGGAGGGACAGGCTTTAAGACACAGCATCTCCTCTTCCTCGAGATCTTTTCCCAAAGTTTAATTATGGAAAATCCCTATAAATTACAGTTTATTTTGTGTAAGAGCTATAACCAAGATAAAAAGACCAGGGAGGGAGAGGGAAAGGAAGGACTCAAGAGACATTGCAGATAACACGGTTGAGATAGCTCATTTAATCACCTGTTGAAGAAATTATAGCAATTTTTAAAGAAATGCTCACCCATAATGTCACTGTGGCTCCTGAAAGAAAGTACCATGGAATACGTGCATATAGAGGCATGTAAGGTTCCATCTCCTGTGATGTTGAAGAAATCACAAAGAAATTCAAAATCTCCCCTCTAAGTCAAGACTCCAAGCACTAGTCAGTATCATAGAGCCCGGTTAAAGCAGGAACCTCCCAAAAGGGCCTACTATAGGCCATGGAAAGCTACATTATAGGAATGGTTCCTTCTCTTGAAGGAGAAATCTCTAGGCGTCCTAGATGGGGTATTTTACACATGATATGAGACAAAATGGATACACACAATTTCCTAAATGCTGAATTACGATGTTTAGGGCCTGGCACTCAGTAAATAAAGTCAAATAATGAAGGTTGCTGCTTAGGCAGACATGCTTTATGATGTTTAATGGTGTTATAATTTTATCTAATTGAATCGAATTGCATTGCTCTGCAATTGCTCTGCATAATATTAGATGCTTTCTTTATATTTTTCAGATAAACTGTGTTCTTCCACATAGCTCAGGAGCCAAGACTTCTGCCTTTAATCTTTAAAAGTCATTAATGAAAGATATTGATTATACAGCTGACATTCTTAGGCACATCAAGAAGCAAGTAGATTTTACCTAAAAGAAGCAAAAAATAGTAAAAGAAAAAAAAAAGCTGTCAGCAGAAATCAAAATCATGTAATTCTATAACATAATATTTCACATTTTAAGAATTTTAAGGGTGGTCTGAATAAAAATAGGACTCTCAACAGGCAGGGTAGGCTGTCCAAGAGTCCTACAGACCTCAAAATGTGTGTGGATGTATGTGTATATGTGACTGTGTACATGTATGTTCATGTGTGCACCCAATGTATGTGTGCTCATGCATGTGTATGCATATTTGTGTGGGTGCACGTGTGTGTTCCCAATGCGGACTTAAATGTGACGGTTCTGATTGCCCTTAAACACTGAAGAAGCACTGCAATAAGTAAAAATAAATAAATAAATAAATAAATAAATAAATAAATAAAAAGCTCTGCTTCTTGATTTCTAAACCACGAAAGCTAAGTGAAGTCAATGATTCACAGTGAATCAATACATATGGCTTTTCAACCGGATTCAAATGTAACCATTCAATACATTTTTTTTCTGTTAATTTTTGACAAAGCTAATGGGACTGCTTTTGTTTTCTTTTTATCTCATGAAATAGCAATAAACATCATGTCATTATTCTATCAATATCTTTTAATATATTTTCTTAATTTCAAACTGCTACCCAAATTGTTAATGTATTTTCTGAGATGTTTTCATGCTCTTTGGAGATGTTTTTGTGATCTTCCAATGAAACTTAGTAATTGTTTAATGAAGCCTAAATGGTGAAAATAATTTTAAATGTTATATTGCAAGAATAGTTTTCTCAAGAGAAGAGGGAATTCTACTGAAGAGAGTGTATTTGGGACACATATTATTCTCTTTTAAATAGCAGCAGGAAACACAGTGATTGTAGATTATGGAAAAATAGGGGCTTGAAAAATATGTAACCAAGATTTTGGTCTTTAAAGGAAAGCACTTCCATTTTCACATGAAAAAAAGTGAGGTACCAAAAAGTTAAACAACTCAGTTAAGAACATACAGCTGGTTTGTCAGCTAAGCATTCTAATACATAGACTTCTTCCCCCACACACCAATACAATGATTGTCAATATAATCAATTAAAAGGGGCCATGTGAAGAAAAGTTAATCTAATAAAACAATCACTCATAAGACCTCAATCTTAATATAAATACTATTTTAATTTTTATATATCACTTAGGATCATTTCAATTTCTATACATTTATATACAAAACCCACAGCATACACACTATTTTCCTTTTTGAACTTAGTTTAATGTTATTATGCCTTGGATTTGTTTCAAAATAATTTAGTGACACAAAGGAGTATGAGTATGAATGAAATAAGATTGTCCATGAATTAAAAATGATTAATTCTGAGTGATGGGTTCATCCATGTGGTTCACTATACATTTCTATCTACATTTGAAAGTGTTTGAAAATTTTCATATATATACATTGATTATATATATTTATATACATGTATGTATATTAGAAACAAGTAGTTTATGTTATTTATATGCTGCAGAATACTTTAAAGGCAAATTAAACTATGATTATATGAGAAGAAACCTATAGCAGTGTGTCCATTGAGATATGCTGTCCATTTCACAGTATTCTAGTCTACCTTGGTCACTGGATTCAATTTCCTGTGTTTACACATAGCTTCAAATTCCGGTCTCAGCTGAAGCTGCTGCTGTTCCTCTTCAAAGTCCACCAGGTCCCATTCATATTCCAGTCTGGCTTGTCGTTGTTTCCAAAACTCCAAAAATAAGGTGACTACAGGTAAACAAATATATATAAAAAAAGATATAAAAAAATGTTAAAAACTTTTTCAACTTCTCCCTTTAATCGCTTTGGTTGCAGGATGGTTCACATGTTTCAGGTGGCTATTGTTTCACTGTTGTGTTTGATTAAAACTTCATCAATTATTAATGTTGGTATAATATTATGTATCCGACAACACACTGAAAAAAAGCTCATACAAAAATTTAAATTAATTTCTTGGTCAGTGGTCCAAGCAAGAATTATTTTCAGACATATTAATAGATTTCTTCATTCAGATAATTTGAAGTAATATTTAAAATTTGCTTTTTATTAACACTGAATTTTTTTTTTTGCATGTATCTTTTATCTTTTATGGAAATCATTTAAGTCATTGTACTGTTTCTCAGGCTTAGGGAAATATACCTAGGAAGCATAAGAGCCAATCCCCAGCACAATTACTCTCTCTTTTAAAATACATATATTATGTATACACACAAAACTTCAGCTTTCTTTTTATGTCTTTATTTGAGTCTCCTTCTGTCACCCAGGCTGGTCTCAAACCTCTGGCCTCTAGTGATCCTTCCACCTCAGCCCCCCCAGAGTGCTGGAATTATCAATTTTCAATTGAAGAATATATATTTACAGAAAAGTACACAAAATATAAAAGTACAATTCAAAAAAAATCACAAAATAAATATACCCATATAATCAGCACCAATATAAAAAATATTCCATTACAAATGGATTTACATAAATGATATACAACTGATAGTTTTTCGTGTCAAGCTTTTTTTTTTTCTTTTTGGTTCAACTTTGTTGCTGTGTGCAGTGAAAATTCATTTATTTTCATTGCTGCATAGTATTCAACTGTACGGTTAAATTGCAATTCTGGTTATATATTCTTGGACTGACAGACATTTGAGTTGTTTCCAGATACCTGCTATTACACATAGTGCTGCTGTGAACATTCTTGTAATCTATTGGTGTGCATATACATGCCTTTCTATTGGGATATACTTAGGAAGAGAATACTAACACCTCCAATATTAACTTATGATTTTATCATCTATAAAAGATTCAACTTTCTGACTCACTACCTTTTAAACAATGTAAAGAACTATGGATATCTATACATTTTTAAAAATCCTAATTATATTTTTATCATTGTCGTCATCTAATTGCTGTCTCAGCTTCCAAAATATATTTTTCCAGTGCAAATATATCTATCTTCTGACTGTTGGTTTTTTGTTTATTTGCTCATGTATACATTGGCTTATGTTTTCCTTTGCTCATTATTTAAACTTTAAAGAAATAGTTAAACATTTATTAAGTGGGAAGAACACTGTAGACTAACTACTTAACAATTTTAAAGTGTACAATTAATTATTGTGGACCATTAGCACAATGTTGTACAGACCTTATTCATCTTGCTTAATTGAAACTTTAAAGTATGGTTATTGATTAATAACTGCTCATTTCCTAATCCTCCAACCCCTGGTAACCACAATTCCACTCTTTGATTCCATGAGTTTGGCTATTTTAGATACCTCATATAACTCCTCCAGTCAAAAAGTAATTCAGCCCTCCTCTGTACTCCCTCAGCATTTACAATGCACTTCTATGAAAGTAGACTTCAGATTCTTTCCCAATTAGATTGTGACTTTCTTAACCATAGGTTATATTTCATTCACTTATTCATACCATCATTTAACACTAGTTGCAAATTTCATGAGGCAGAAACTTTTACTCTATTCATTTCATTACTGCTGTATGCAGTAAATACATTGTTAGCAGGGAGAACAGTTTCATGAACTTGGGACTGTTAAACATTTTAATATTTGCGTGTTTGTTTATACCACAACAGAACAACTACCATTAATTTTAGAAGCAGTATTTGGTTACCATGGCTATGCAAGAGATTGGATGTCATATACATAATGCTAAAAGTTTTAAATACACTAAGCATTTAAAATTTTTTGTCTCAAAGTTTGTTAATGCTGAAGTAGAAATAAGAAAGTTGGCTGACACAGATGGGATTTTTAGATAAATTAATGATGGTACAAAATAGCTAGCAAAAAAAGTACTGTAAGGAAAGAGAAATGATATGGACTAAAACCAAAATTGTTCCCATGATTTCTATGGACTTTTGTGATTATAAGTATATAGGAATCACAGGATTCACATATTTCCTGAAAAGGATTTCAGGAAATTAAAGAGACCCTTGGTTTGGGCCTTACATTTTATGCCTAAATAGGAATTGACCTTTTTTATTTTTAAGAAGGAATACAATTAGCACTTAAACTATTCATTGATGCAACATATATTTGAATACATACCATATGCCTAGCCCTGGAACTATGGAGATGAAAGCCATGGTGTTTGTCCCAAAGGAGCAAGTAATCTAGTGATGAACCTGGCTTATACACAATGACAATCATGGAGGCATGTACACTAAAAATGTGTCTTACAATCAAGGACTATGTATGTGCATATTTAAATTCCTATTGCCTAGAATAGTACCTGTTCCAGGGTAGAAACTTTAAAAACTAGTTGCTGAATTATATTAAAGTATAAATAGAATGAAATCATTAAATTTCTGAAATAAAGCATAGGTGAACATCTTACATTATCTCTGAGTGGGGAAGGTGTTCTAAAGAAACACAAAAACAAGAAAAACCATAAGGAAAGTTTTATGACCAGTAATATATATTAAAATGTCCATTGACTATGAATGAGATCAAATGTAAATTACAAACTGAAAAAAATATTTGCAATTTCTGTGGCAGACAAAGGATTACTGTACTTATACAAAAGTACCTGTGAATTATAAAAATAAATTAAATACTTCAAATATCAAGGAGAGCCAATGGTCAGTAAATATTAAAAACGTGACCAGTCTCACTTGTGATTAAGTAACTGCAAATAGTGCTGTGATAGTGCTGTGGAGTGCTCCACACACACCCACTCTTCTATTTATGATGTAATATAAGGCAGGTGTTGGTGCACAATTTCTCTCCATGTAAACAATGGAAAATTCTCACAATGCATTTGTTTTAATCATGCACCTATCATTCATTTTCGATTCCAAGTAAGGAGAGGTAGGATTTGGCAGCCTCATGATAAATAGATGTATATACAACAACTTACAAAAACTGGGGTTGCTGTTAAACCATTAATAAGATTTCTAGATTCTTTGTTCTCTTTGAATCTAGGCTGCTCTCTTCAGACCACAGCAGCCAAGCAGAAATGAGAGAAATCCATAAAATCCCTCTGCTTTGCACACATACCTAAAAATTTTGATGTTATTTGCCTGGATAATGCCGCCCTTGCCCAGTTTTTTGTATTTTTTGTTTTTTGTTTTTTGTTTTTGAGATGGAGTCCTGCTCTGTCCCCCAGGCTGGAGTGCAGTGGTGTGATCTGGGCTCACTGCATGCAGCTCCACCTCCCGAGTTCACGCCATTCTCCTGCTTCAGCCTCCCGAGTAGCTAGGACTACAGGCACCCGCCACCACACCCGGCTAATTTTTTTTGATATTTTTTAGTAGACACGGGGTTTTACCATGTTAGCCAGAATGGTCTCGATCTCCTGACCTCGTGATCTGCCCACCTCAGCCTCCCAAAGTGCTGGGATTACAGGCGTGAGCCACCACACCAGGCCACCCTTACCCAGTTTTGAATGGCACATATTTGTGTTTGTTAGAGGTGTTTTTTAATCGAGAAAAATGTCTAATTTACACCCACGAATTCCAAGTTTTGTGATATATTTTAGACCAGTCTTTAGGTCTCTTCTAACAAAGTTATTCTTACAGAACATATTTTCCTTGCTAATGATAGGAAAAACTTCATGACACTTTAACTTTCCAACTGAAATGGAAAATATGAAGTCCTGGGCAGGGCATTTTCAAAATTAAGGGAAATTCCACTTTATATGAAGGATTTTTAATGAACGAACGTGGAAGTGGAATCTATAACTTGACAATTTAGATGAAATAAATGTTCATTAGTCCTCAAGTTTTTGATCCTTGTTCCAGTTTGTATACATGACTCAATGTCTTGCAGCCACAAAATATTTGTTTAGTCTCTCCTGAATTAAGTACTTTTTGAGCCTGTTTTTAACATGGCACTGAAAGACAGTGAGAAATTAATGTATTTGATGTTTCAAAAATTATGAGAAATGAGAAATGAGCTGATGTTTAATAGAGACCTGTGTGGACCAAGAACCAATGGCCACTAATATGCACTCCATCAGTGTATTAATGTTACAAAGACCCAATGATCTAAAACCACATTTGGTATGTAAGATATTTCATCTGTCACATGTTATATGGAGACAAAACAACACATTAATGGAAGAAAGCTGTTTCTTTATGGGACAATTTACTCACCCCAAATTCCCATGAATATTGCAAAGAACACTGTTGACTCATTATCAAACAAATGGGAGAACTGTAAAAATAACAATAACACAAAGATAATTTAGTACTAAATGTAATGAAAAGGAGGAAAATTCAAAGCCTTTTCAACATATTACAATGTATACATACCTTTGAAGCCAAACATGTACTATTTAGTCTCCAATAATCACACACTTGATCACAGAGTGGGCACATGATCATCTGACCACCAATCTCAGGGTCACAGATTTCAGTGCTGCAAGAGGAACAGCCAAGTTACTGAAAAGTGATAGGCGTTTAGGTAAAAGTCCAAGCTGTTCTTATTAGAACAACTACTTATATAACTTCTCACATATAACAGAGGGGGCAATCAAGCAGCAATTTCTATAGTGGGTCAAGTCATGCTTTGAGGAGTAGACTTTTCAGAGCCCATCATTAAAAACAGATTTTCCATAAAGCACCAGGTGAGAGGCTACTGTTATGTTTGAGTAGTTTTTGGAAAACATCAATTATCTGCTGCTATAAGGAAACATTCTGAAGGAAACGCCAGGGAAATAATAACAACAGCTTCGTTTGGCACAAGATAAAGACGTTTTCTCTATCTGGGCAACTCAGGTGCACTTACCTGCTTGTGTTATCTTCCATTGATAATAAACCATAAATAAAACAAGCTAAGCCAACTACAGCTGCAAAGGATAGCATTTCTGTGTAAAATCCAAGAAAGACAAAATAGATACCAATTTTTTCTCCATAATAATTCCTGTTGAAAAGAGTAAAAACAGAATCAGAATATGGAAGAATGTTATACTCCAGAGAGCCTTGAATTTTATTCAGACAGGCATATATTCTAATTTTGGCTCCATTGCTTTCTAGACATATAATTTTGGTGAAGTTACTCAACTCTTTAAACTTCAGTTTCCATATCATTATCATGTTTTAACACAAGATAGTACTTATTCCATAGTGAAAGGGCTGATACAAGGATTAAAAGGGATAACAGATATAAGTAAAAAGTCAAATAAATGGAATTTAAATTTAAAATTTAAATAAGATAATTTGGAAAGCCTCTATATTATAAAGAGAATTTAAATGGTCTTTAAATAAACTACAGAATATTCTACAATGTAATTTCTAGGAATGAACTTAACAAATCAAAACCATATCCAAAATCTGCATGGACTTTTGCTTTATCCCTCTTTCTAAAACTGAAAACATTTCTCTGATTACATTGTAGGTATACATTTCCATCTTTCTCCAAGTGTGAATCTTCGAAGTTTACAGGATTGTAACATAGGTAGCAGGCCAAGGAATTAAACATGACTACTTTAGCAAAAATTCTATGAAATATGCAGCTCAGCTCTTGGTTTTCAAAGAATTGAAAAGTGACAGCATTTATTGGCACAACCTTTTAATTCTCGCAACCAAGTGTTTTGTTTTTAACTGAGTACCCCATTTAGGAATGAGAGAAAGTAGTTTTCTCCTCCTCAGAAAGTCAGGTTTTCTTGTTATTGTTGTTGTTTAACCTGATTAATCCTCCTCCTGGTTCATATAGATCCCAGGTCACCAAATCTGTGTCTTTCCACAGTTTCCTAGGCAAAAAGATGTGATACCTTTTGTGTTCTAGTAGCGTGCTATATGATTCTATGAAAGTACTTAATATTAAATTGTAATTTATATATATGCTCAACAAGAACACATATCTGAACATAACAGTTATAAATGTTTTTTCACAATGATATTTTAAAATATATTTATCATATACAATATTAATTTTATTGAACCTCCCACTCTTCATATTTCAACACTCTTAAAATTAGTAGGCATCTTTCTGCTTATCCTGTCTTTTTTCATGCTTTTCAGTGATGATGAACATTTTTGCATTGTTAATTTCCCTAATTTGGTTTTCCAGATTACTATAAACTTGAAATTAAATTACAATGCTATAATATTCCCTTGTTAATCTGCCATTCACAACTTCCTTAGCTTACTCATACTTGGAGTGAATGAACTTGGTTTCTCCCAGTTTTTTGCTGAAAAATGTAGAAAATACTGTGATAGTACATAATATCAAAATCAGAAAAAAGTACAAACATATATTTTATGAAATTTACTGTTTACCATGTCTATTTTAATGTTTTAAAAATTACAGAATCAATGTTATTAGAAATATAATATCAACATTATTGCTATAGACTTAAACATTCTTTAATAATTCATAAGGAAACTGGATATTTCAACAACCTTAGTTTTAAAGTACTACTTTTTTCTCCTTTTCGATTGTCACAATTCTTATTCCTTGAGCATAAAAAATAAAATCCCTCAAGAACTCTAGACCTGTCAAAAAGAGAAATTGCTGAGAATTTACTAAATGAAATCAGGCAAGTATTTATTACATGTGGAAATATACAAATTATTTTACTAAATTTTGGACTTGGGTGTCTAACAGTAACAGATTAACACTAAATAATCTTTCAGGATCTCAGAAAGCAATAGATATTTATTAGATTTGCAATATCGTAAAAATGTATACATTATTGAAATCACATTTAATATTTAATTTAAACTATCTTGTTGGTCATAACTAAGAAAATAAGAGAAATCTAATAATATGAGACACTATAGAAGCTCAAATATAGGGAGAGACTTGAGTATTATTTTTTAGAAAAATATGCCATATATTTAAATCTATGATCTTTTTTAACCTGTCCATTTTACTTACTAGACTTTCAACTGATTGTGGCACTGCACCATCTAATACAGCATCTGATAGGTAGAAGAGATTCAGTAATATTGGTTGCGAGATACTGTGTGAGGGGACTGCCCTCATTTTGTATTTCCAAGATGTAATACTTAGTCGAAAACATAGTAAATAATCAAAAGAATGATGATAGAATTAAATTGAATACAATCTTGAGAAATCAATCAATAAATGCAAACTTTATTTCTAAAATGATTTATTTTTACAATGAATCCATAAACATCTGAGAAACTTAGCTTCAGTATTATCCTCACATTGTAATAACATTATCTGTACCACACATATATTTAGTCTATGCTATTTAGTATGTGGCAGTATTTCAATTTTATTTCTAAGCATTAACACACAACATATGGATATCAAAAAACATTACATGAAGTGTAAGCTGGAAGGAAAAAAATGAGCTGATGGAGCTCATGTGCCAGTGATCAGTCTTCAATTTTATATGCTCTATCAGCCCATTTTTTTCAATCTTGGCATTGCCATCTTCCCCAAAATTATTATCTAATGTGACAAAATTATCTGTGCTCAAAAGGCGGAAAAGCCAGTTCGAGATATCTGGACATGAAAGTGATGTTTGGTGTAGACGTAACATGAAATACGCGAAATCTAGGAACTCAGATTCCTATAAACTGTATCTCTTTCTAGACACCCTATCATGCTGTCTTCCTTATTTTTATCTTCCGTATCCAACAATCCATTAGGTCCAATGAATTCTGTCATAAAAATATTTTTCTAATTCATAGTCTCCTCTCCTTCCTGTTGCCAATGCCTTGAAAAGACCTCTAATATTTATTGCTGAACAATTTTAACAACCTCCTTACTTCCCTGAGTTCAATCTTATATTCATCTAAATTATCTTTTGTTTCCAATAAAATGATGTTTCTAAAGTAAAAACTGAGCAATATCCTTTTCTTCCTTCAAAGCTTCATCTTTTTACTTCAGCATTATTCTTCAGGATTTTGTTCCTGGTAAACATTCAAATCTCCTTTGCCGACACTCCTACATGAAGAACTAAACAAACAGTGCTCTTGTGTATTCTCTTTGCCTGAGATATTCTTACCTAACTTCTTTACCTACTATCCTGCTACTTATCTTTCAAGACATAGTTCAAGAATGAACACTGTGAAGCTTTCCTAGAGGTTGTCATGAAGATAGGTGCTTTTCCCTCTGTATTTTGTTTGGAGTATTACTGTGCTGTAACTAATATGCATTTGTGTGTGTTCCTGCAAACAAATTCATGTTAGGAAACCACAATCTGATTATCTTTGTAGGCACAGTACCTTACTTGATATGTAGTGATGCTTAATAAAGTCTCATTAAAATAAATGTGTAAATTGTAATTATGCATCTATGAATAAATTCTTTTCTTTTTTTCTTTTTGAAACAGGGTCTCACTCTCTTGTACTAGGCTGGAGTGTAGTGGTGTGATCTCTGCTCATTGCAACTTCTGCTTCTCAGGTTCAAGCAATTCTACTGCCTCAGCCTCCCAAGTAGCTAACAGGTATGTGTGCCACCACACTGGGGTAATTTTTGTATTATTATTATTATTTTTAAAAATAGAGATGGGGTTTCACCATGTTGACCAGGATTGTCTCAAACTCCTGACCTAAACTGATGCCTTGGCCTTCCAAAGTGCTGAGATTACAGGCAAATTCTTTCTATGTTAAGAATATTTTAACTTTTATCAGGTCTACCCATAAAATCTTTACTAAAACCCATGAAATCAACAAGGAGAGGAAAAAAAATCCAAACTCAATACAGGCCTTCAATATCATGACACAGAACATCATGATCCTCAGATTACCTGTAAGTAAGGAAATAAACACAACTTCAACACCTGCTGCTACAAACCTAAGATACAGGAGAGAGGTGGAGATGTTTAAGAAATTATAAGGGAAAAATGTAAAGTAGGGTGGGAAACATAAAGAAATACAGCTAAAATAACCCCTAGAGAAAAGTTTAACTAAATCCCCTAATGCAGAATATATGTTGGGACTTGGTCATTTGTAATCTATAAGAAACAATCTGAAAAGAGCAGGACTGGAAGTGGCAGCCTGAGAAAAGCAATATTTCTTGAGAAGAATCAGATACAAAGAGAAGACTGGTACTCCTTGGAGGAGTGGCAGTAAACAGAAAAAAGGAAATGAGAGAGGAGAGTTGGAATAGGTGCAGCACACCAACATGGCACAAGTATACATATGTATCAAACCTGTACGTTATGCACATGTACCCTAGAACTTAAAGTATAATAATAATAATAATAAAAAGAAAAAAGAAAACCTGCAAAAAAAAAAAAAAAAGTAGTTTGTCCAAGGTCATAACTAGAGGGTAAGGAATTAGGAAAAGAAGGGGAAGGGACAGAAGTGAGGAAGGTAACAGAGGGAGAAAATTACTTTTCAGGAAACAATCTTGTTCAATATTTATTACAATATTCCTTTCCGTAAATGGGATTTCTTATAAAACAAATACTACTTTTCCACTAACTTCTTTTATTGTAAAATTAAAAACAATTCTTTAAAAAAATAACCCAAGGCCAGGTGCGGTGGCTCACACCTGTAATCCCAGCACTTTGCGAGGCCGAAGTGGGTGAATCACGAGGTCAGGGGTTCAAAATTAGCCTGACCAATATGGTGAAACCCTGTCCTTACTAAAAGTACAAAAATCAGCCGGCTCTGGTTGTGTGCAAAACAAACAAACAAACAAACAAACAAACAAAACCTACAACAGCATAATTGAAAACCCTGAGGCAAGGGCTAAATTAAAAGGCCAAGAGCTAGATTAAGAGGCTCACCAGGCTTTGAGAACATTATATAGAACCTTCTTACTTCTGGATCTCCTGGTTACTGTCAACATCTTGCCCGGATTACTGACCATCTAAAATGGAACTTTTCTGATACTTCAACTCAGCTAAGTTTTGGAACATACAGCCATGGAGAGCCTGTAAAATGCATTTCTGATGGCAGGTGCTTTAATCGTGCTAACCTAAAGATTCCACAGGT